CTAAAGTTAAATCTAGTGGCTCTTCCGCACCAGGTGTTTATACCCCTCACTCTTCATAATCAGACTATTTTTGCCCCTTTACTTCCCAATTTAAAAGTCAGATTCTACCGATTTTTCTCCAAGTTATTTAAATAAGCTATGAGGGGAAAAAAATTCATTTTTAGATATGTGTGATTTCGTGACTTCTCACCATGCAGTTTAGTGAAGGAAAAGCCCCAGCGCTCTTAAATTATCGCCTGTCAGACATTTTGCAATTTCTGGAAGAAGGTGATCTTTTGGACCCTGTCAAAAAGTAAGCTGCTGTTGTCTGTAAGTCTTGAAGCACTGCATGACTACACTGTTGTTGAAGTCAATTCGGAATTGGCTTTGTGTCCTTGCAGGAAGCCCCGAGCCTCTGTCCGCCTGCCCCATCTCTAGAGAATATCAAAGCATTCTGTTATTGCAGTATATAGAAATGATTTTGGCAAGTGACAAACACTGCCCGTTAGTGAGACGATAAACTATAGTAACTGTCCTTTTTTGATAGCTGTGGAAAAGCAAAAAGTTTTTGATGCTACTTTTAAAATAGAACTCTTGTCTTAGACATAGAAGTCTGTGAACGTGTGTGTGTGCCTTTTTAAGGCTGTAGTTATTGACACGATTGCTGTAAAACCACAGTCAGTTCAGAATTACCCTTGAGCAGGTTATCACATTGCAGTTGGCCCAATATTGCTTTCAGATTCTAATTGACATTTCCAGATACTCAGAGCACTAAGTATGTTGTTGACATAAATAGAACCTTTACTTACCATCTAACTAGAACTAGAAAAAAAAAAAGGTATTTTAACTTGTAGCATGTTGATTTGAACCAGAAAGTGTGTTATTTTCTTACCTTAGCAAGGGATAAATAAGAAAATTTCACCTGAAATAGAGAACAAAGAGGCAAAGATAGTTAAAATTTTATAACATATATCCCAATTTTTTCTTTGACATTCCAAAGCTATATATCTATGAAGAATTACAGAGCCAAAGAGAATATTTATTTTTGTTAATAGCCACTGTTAACCATTCATGGATGAAAAGCCTTTATTTATCTTAAGATGCTAATACTCTCTAAATTGATCTACAGATTCAATGTGATTCTTCCCAAAATCTAGCTAGCTTTTTTTTTTCTTGCAGAACTTGATGTTCTGAATCTAAAATTTGTATGAATATGCATGGGACTCGGAATAGCCAAAACAAAGTTGGAAAAGAACAAATATGGAGGACTCCCACTTCCTGATTTCAAAACTTCGTATACAACAAGTAATCAAGACTGTAACACAAGTATAGATCAATGGAATATGACTGAGAGTACAGAAATGAACCCTTTTACAGTTTTGCTCAGTTGGGTTCTGATAAGGATGTTAAGACAACTCAATGGGGAAAGAATAGTGTTTTGAACCGATGGTTCAGTCACAGCTAAATATGCAAGGACTGAGGTTGGATCCCTACCTCGCACTGTGTACAGAAATTAACTCAAAATAGTTATATGCCCAAATACAACAGCTAACTTTATAAAACTTTAGAAGAGGGTCTCCTGGGTGGCTCATTTAGTTAAGCGTCTAACTCTTGATTTTGGCTCAGGTCATGATCTCACAGTTCGTAAGATCCAGCCCCGCATTGGACTCTGCTCTGACTCTGTGGAACCTGCTTAAGACTGTCTCTCTGATCCTCCCTACACACGTGTGTGCTCACTCTCTCCCCCTCTCTCTCTCCCTCTCAAAAATAAACAAACATTAAAAAAAAAAAAAACTCTTAGAAGAATATATAGGAGTGAATCTTTGTGACCTTGTAGCAGGCAATGTTTCTTTGATACAACACCAAAAAGCACTAGCGACAATAGGAAAAAAGAAAAGATAACTTGAACTTCATTAAAATTAAAAACTTTTGTGCTTCAAAGGGCACATTGAGAAATTTCAAGAAATGTCTCCCACAGAATGGGAAGAAATATCGGCAAATCATGTATCTAAGGAATCTGTGTACAGAATATTTAAAGAGCGCTTAAAATTCAGTAATAAAAGGATAAATATTTAGATATTTCTTCAAAGAAAAGGTACAGATGTCCAATAATCACATGGGAAGATGCTCAGCATCATTGGTCATTATAGACAAATGCAAATCATTAGCCCTTGGGGACGTGCAAAATAAAAACCACACACACTATGATAGCTCAAATTTAAGGAAGAAAAATAAAAAGTGCAAAAAGGCGAGGACTGAGAGAAATTGGAATCCTCATCTATTGCCAATAGGGATGTAAAATTGTGCAACACTTTGGAAATAGTATAGCAGTTCCTCAAAATGTTTAACAGAGTTACCATATGACTCGGGAATTCTACCCCTACGTATATATCAAAGAGAAATGAAAACACATATGCACACAAGAACTTGTGGTTCTTAGCCACATTATTTCACAAGTGAACATTATTTCAAATGTTCATAGCAAAATTATTTATAATCAAAAAAAGTGGAAATAACCCAAATGCCCATCGAGTGATGAATGGGTAAACAAAACGTGGTGTATTGATACAATGGAATATTATTTAGCCATAAAATGCAGTGAAATATTGACACATGCTACAATATGAATGAACTTTGAGAACCTCATACTCAGTGATAAAAGCCACGTATCTTATGATTCTGTCTGTATAAAATGTTCATAAGACATAAATTCTTAGAGACAGAAATTAAATTAATGATTTCCAGGAGTGGGGGTAGGCAGAATGAGGAGTGATGGCTCATGGGTATGCAGTTTCTCTTTGGGGTTTTGAAATTGTTTTAAAATTAGACAGTGGTGATGATTGCAAAATTCTGTGGATAAGCTAAAATAGACTGTACTTTTTAAAAGGGTTAATTTAATAACCCTTAAATAAATACACTTTAACCTTTAAATAAATTAAATAACCTTTAATAAAAGGGTTATGTGAATTATATCATAATGTGCCTCCTATAAGAAAAAAAATAGTAGGTCTTAAAGCCCCAGTGAAGCCTCTCAGTGCTTGAGGCTGCATTCCTGTTGACATCTTAAAATGTTGCAACCTCATGAGCGATTCTGCCCCAGAACTCCCCTATCGAAGCCACTTCTAAATAGTTGATTTCCAGAAACTATGAGAGAGAATTGTTGTTGTTGTTGTTTTTAATCCATTTAATTTGGGAGTAATTTATTACACAGCATTTGGAAACTAACACAATGCCATTCTACCTCATGCGTTCGTTAACATTCACTAAATGAGCTCTGTGTGTTGTGTACTTGGCAGAGGACTAGACGTGTCCTTACCCTTCATAGCACTTCATCTTGTGTAAGAGGGTCAGGTAGGAAAGTATGGTTTTGACAAATGCAGCCATCAAGTGTTCTGACATGTGCAGTAGTCTCAAGTTCAAATATTTTGTTAAATTGTCTACATAAGTATTTTTGTAACCTGCCCAGCCCCTGTCTCTTTTCTCTGTAAGCATCTCTCAAGCCCTTCATAATAATATGAATGTTTGAAAGCTTTCAAAGACATTCATCCTTTAAGATTTGGTGCCCTAAACTAAAAAGTGTGCTTTAGCCTTTTAGATTTTCTTCCCTTTCTTTATCCCTGTGGAAAAGAGAAAACAAATTAAAAGAAAGAAAAAGAAAAATCTAGTGTAGGCCAAGTCCTCCACAAAACCCGCAAGCCAATGTGAGATGTTGCTACTCAGTCTAAAAGTGAAATACAGGGGCGCCTGGGTGGCTCAGTCGGTTAAGCATCCAACTTCAGCTCAGGTCATGATCTCACAGTCCATGAGTTCAAGCCCCACATCAGGCTCTGTGCTGACAGCTCAGAGCTTGGAGCCTGTTTCGGATTCTGTGTCTCCCTGTCTCTCTGACCCTCCCCCGTTCATGCTCTGTGTCTCTCTGTCTCAAAAATAAATAATGTTAAAAAAAATTAAAAAAAAATAAAAGTGAAATGCATTTTACTCATTTCACAATGACATGCTGCTTGAGTTGTGGTCCACATCTTGTTTTCTTCAAGATATGAACCTAATTCCTTTATGCCCAACCTCTGACCTGATATATTGTCTTTCCTTGTTGTTGAAATGATGCTGTCAGATCCATGAATGTTCTGTTTACAGGTGTGGTTGTTGACAACGGGTCTTTCTTTCTCCATGTGGTTTGTTGTTTTGGTGAAACCTGAGTCCGTGAAGAACACTGTGACTTTGCTTCTAAAGAGTGGTGTATCTGCAGAACCGCTCTGTTAAAGTACAGCTCAGAAGCCTAACAGAAATCTAATGCCTTCCAAGTGAGATTCTAAATCAACTTGCTTTTTGGAATCCATTCTCCCTATGTGACGGCCAACTCAACTTTGCCACTGTCTTGGAGGACTCTACTTCCCTGACCCTTTTCCCTTTCTGTAGCGGAAGAGTGCTTACCATTTTAGAAACTAAGTGGTTAATTTTAGTTTCTCTCTGCTGAAGATCATTCTCAGAGTGAAAGTCTTATGACAAAATAAGAACTCCGGATTTCTTTTCCTGCCACAGTCCTGTTACACTTTTGACCGAAGTGACCTTTCCAGGCAACTTTTTTTTTTTTCCATGGACTTTGCTTTCTTTATATTTTTAGTGTCACCAGGGGGTGCAGGCAAGTACAGTACATTAAAGCCAATACATCACCACCTGTCAGTGGCACCTTCCCTTTGGTATCCCTTTTCCTTGCTGATGTAAAACACTCAGTCCCAAAAGCTTATGGTTGAGTAGCAGGAAGCTAAATGATGTATTCCACAGCTCTTAACATATTGGCTTGTGTAAATGGCCCGTTTGAGTATTTCAGAAACCAAATGGGAGAGAAAAGAACATTGAAAGCCCTGAAAAGATTAACACCTGTTTCCAGTCTTCAAAGAAATTGGAGCATACTGTATATATCTAGAGAAAAACCATTTGCTACCTCACATTGAGACATTTTATTCAAATTTTCAGTTCTAAATGCATAGCATCCACATGCTCATGGGTTTGTTTGACTACAGGATTCCACACAGAACTTAGAAGATGGAGAAGTTATGAATGGTGTGCAGACAGAACTCCTGGCATCGCTGAAAACCAAGGATGCATTGAGGTATTCTCTTTACGTGAATCAGAGTATTTTAGTTATTTCAGGTTGATGTTTGTTTCTTTCACAATTTGTAGCTGTTGTTTTTTTATTTTATAGGGAAGATGAAGATAAGTAGCATAGTGGAGTGAAACCTTCCCAGTTCTAAAATTAATTAGTCATTCTTTTATTTCCTTTTATGATATGAGAGCCTCCTGACAAACATATAAGAATGAGCCTCCACGTCTTTCAACTCTTCTGCAACCTGGATTTCTTAATTGCTTTTTTCCCCTTTGAACAACTGTTTAAAGTGAATTTTCGGAGTTCATTCTGGTTGAGTGTTTTACAGGGACGTTAGCTCCTTGAATATTAGTTTGCATTGTGTTTTCACCATCTTGCAATATTTTACTCAATGTATGTAAAATGAATCCCGTCTGTCACCCAGGATCTTTCATGTTTTTAATGTAAGTAACTCATTATATGAAGTCCTTTGCTCTCGCACTTAACCCACACTGCCTTTGTTCTGCACTGATTTTTAGTTCTGCCTTCGCTACTGCATGGGTTCGGCTCCCAGTTTCGCTGCTTAACAGTTCTATGAGCTTAGGCGAGTTACTCATCTCCCTTTACCTTACTTTCCAGTCTGTAAACAGAAATAATATTAAAACCTTCTTGAGAGGGTTGGTATGAAGATGAAATGACTTAGTGTACGTAAAACACTTTGAACAGTGCCTGGGCCAGAGTAAGCCCTGGGGGTATTGGCTGCTGTTGGCTACCACTGTTACTGTTACCATTGTCACCATCGTCTCTGTTATGAGGAGGGGGGTGCTGATCATCACCACCACAACCACCATTCTTACCGTCATTTTTTCTAAGTTGCTTCACATTTTGTACCGGGAAAGTAATTCCATGTTCAATAGATTATTGGCTTCAGCGCTCAGAGGTGATGCTTCTGAGGTTGACAGTCATTCAGTTTTTCATGTACTCAACCTATTCTTTTCATTCAGTCCAGTTACTAATAGTTGCCAGGCATTTTACATGGAATTAGCTTTTTAAAAAAAATATGTGATCATCCTTTATCACACTGAAATACTGTGCAGACTTTCCTGAGGCTTACAATTTATAGCCACGTGACATAGTAGTCCTGTTTAGATTATATTTCTTTGATTACTGAGATGCACAACATTAAAATTTTGGTATATGAAATCTCCTGGGCACTGTCTTTTGAGAAGCTTGATAAGATTGTTTTTGGAGGTGGACATAATGAATGTAATACTCTTCTTCTATTTGCCTTTAATTTCATTTTTTTCAATGTTAGCTCTTGGTAAAGTTTGCTAACATCTTGGCTAAATGTTAGGTAGATAGATGCTGTTGAGTGAACAGTTGTTTGATTTATGCCTAGAGGAACAAAGTAGCTAAACTTCCTCCAGGTACAAAGAATTGAGAGGAATAGAGTATAGGAATTAAGAAAAAAAATGTTTAATTAAAATATATGTATGCATATGTATAATTTGATTATCAAAACAGCATTTTTGCAAAAGTCTTATCACATTTAGTAGGCTAATAAATTGCAATTTAGAGCAATTAAGTAACTTCTAGAGACCCAGTCTACCCCCACCACTCTTGTCTCCAAGTTCTTAGACTACAGTGTTACCTGCTATGTACATCTTCCCGTATTCTTTGGTGTTTTATTTCATGGTAAGAAACTTAATGTGGTGAATGCCAGTTTGGAGAAATGAGCTGAAATCAGGGTCAAGTTCAGAAAGTAGAGTAAGTGGAAACTCTCAGCACTTGCCGGCTCTTGGGTAGGATAGAGGGAGAATGAGAGGGATCTTAATAGCATGGAATGCACCGCCAGCAGCTGAAAGCTTGGAGATTATAATTTTAGGAGAGGACATAGGTTCCAGCTGCTATGGGATGATGAAGAAACAAATGAAGAGGAATTAGGAAGTCGCTTTTGGCTGCGTTCCATGGTCAGCATTCTCCTGGGACAAGGAGAACATGATATCCCACAGAGCTTGGCCCAAGGAGAGTACTTTGGCCTCACTTCAATGTAGGTGACATAGAAGCCGGTAAATTATTTCCAGAGTCCATCTCAAAATGTTTTGAACCTATTCCTGTGTTTTAATTCCAAGAGTCACTGCTCAAGCCTTCTTTCCCTTTCAGACTGTTGTAACAACCTACTATCTCTTCTCTTGAATATCAATCTCTCTTTATCTTAATGGATCTCCTATATCACTACTAGATAAAATTTCTTAAAACACAGCATTCGTCAAACCATTCCTTCATTCCTGAACCTTTGGATTTCATTAAATCCTGAGTTTGAACACTGCCTATGTGACTTTGGACTAATTAACCTTTTGATTTTTTTTTTTAATATGGAAAGTGGGTAACATGATCATATAGGTTATTTTGAAGATTAAATGAGATTTAGCACAGGCAGTTGCGCTTAGCACAATGTTAAATGAAAGGCTGGATAAATACTAATTGCTACTGCAGTTATGGTTAGCACACATACTACAGTTTATTTTAACTGTCATTCTCCCATATAAAATTGGGAATCCTCCAAGGGATTCCTGACACTTCGTACAGGTCTTGGAACATGATAGCAGCATATTTGTTCACTGAATGGTTAGAACACATTGCTGCATACATCATAAGCATACCTATTAACTGCTCACCCATTACTAACACATTTATTTAAAGAAATTTAACTGTTAGAAGGAGTTCTCCAAATAGTCTTACAATATGTATGTCTTATGAAGCACAACTCAGTTTATCTTGATCTTAACATGATGGAACAAGAGGTTTCTGTTGGGTGTTTGGTTTGTTGGTTTGTTTGTTTTTAATAGCAAGCAATATGTGCAAAAAGCCTTCGCCTCATTTCTAAATTCTACCTCATTCCCGATCTCAACCTATTCCTTGATACATCTCCAAGTTAGCCTCCCCCAGACTTACCTTTTTTTTCCAGGCCTAAAATGGCCATCAGGTTTTATTTTTTTGCCTCTGATATCCATTCATTTGGCAAATTATTGGGAGAGTCTGTGTCAAAAAGAGTAACTACAACAACAACAAACCCTTGAACTATCCCCGGGTGTCCATCCTTTATTCCTGTAATTATCATTCAAACCCTACTACCTCTCAGATTATTGTAGTGATTTACTAGTTCCTGTCTCAAGGACCAATCTCTATCTTGTCTTTCTCTTTTCTAATTGATCCCACATATCATTGCCAGATGAATATTTCTAAACCACAGCATTTATCACACCACTTCTTAGTACCAACACCTTTACTGGCTCCATTTTCTGTAAAACTAAATGTGCTTTTTTTTCAGTGTGAAATTTGACCTATCCCTTTGAGATTTGATCTCAAGCTGATGATTCAACCTTCTCAATACCTCCCCCATCTTTTCCTTCCTTTCTCTTTGCTCACTAGCCTTTTTCTTTTAATATCACAACCAGTCTGTGTGCCCACAAACCATTCTGGTTCACCGTTCCTGCATAGATGGTGTTCTCTCATCTGCGTGCCCTCTCCATCCCCTCACCTACTTTTTCTGATGGAAGAACTTTTTGCCCTTTGTAGTTCCATCTAAAATGTACCTCCTTCAGGAAGATTTTTGTGATCTCGCTTCTCTGCCTGATGTTGTACTGATTTCCTCCGAGCCTCATTGGAAAGTGCCTCTGCTTTGAAACTCACATGCACGTAGTTAAAAATGCCTGCTCTATAGAATACAATAAATTCCAGTTTGAAGCCTGACTCTACCTTGTATAAATGATGTAATGTTGGGCAATTACTTTACCTTTCTAGGTATCAGTTTACTTCTCTGTAAAATGGAACTGGTATGTTTATATATTTGATAGGAGTACATGTTATCATGCCAGAAGGCACTTAGCACATAGTAGCTTATAATCATTGAGAATACACTACAATTACTACTACTATTCCATTGCTTTGTATTATTCTTTATTACCTGTCTTAACCTGCTCCTAGGTTATGAACTCCTCAGACATTGGCCTCTGTGTTTTCCCTGTGGAACATCCTTATTGGAACTACTACTCAGTAAATATATACATTGAATTCAAGTATATTAAATGAATCCCACCACCATCAACAACAAAATACGTGATTTACTCAGTATATTTTCATCAACAAGACATCATGACCAAGCAGACTTCCATGCCACCAACAAACTCTTCTGGGAGGTCTTGCTGTCTTTACTTCATCTCTAATACTGTTCTGTATGGCAGACCTGTGCTTTAGTGCCTAAAGAACACCGGCTAATACCTTCTACCCATTTATTGCCCATCATCTTGTCTATGGCACCAGTCATCATGGAGGAAATGTGTTCCTCCACATTTAAGAATGTGGAGTACTTAAGAATATTTTCAAAGTTGAGGCACCTGGGTGGCTCAGTCGGTTAAGCATCCGACTTGGGCTCAGGTCATGATCCCGCAGTTTGTGAGTTTGAGCCCCAGGTCCATCTGTGCTGGAAGCTTGGAGCCTGGAGCCTGCTTCGGATTCTGTGTCTCCCCCTCTCTCTGCCCCTACCCCGCTCACACTCTGTCTCTCTCTGTCTCTCTCAAAAATAAATAAACATTAATTTTTTTTTTACAGAATATTTCAAAGTCTCACTGAGGGGGCACCTGGGTGGCTCAGGGGGTTAAGTGCCCGATTCTTAATGTCAGCTCAGGTCATGATCTCAGGGTTCATGGGATCAAATATCAGGCTTCATGCTGACAATGCAGGGCCTGCTTGGGATTCTCTCTCTCTGCCCCTCCTCTGCCTGTACACAAGCATTATTCTCTCTCTTTCTTTCTCAAAATAGATAAACTTTAAAAATAAAAGTCTCACTGAAGAAATCAGTTGAGAAAAAAATGGAAAGTTTGAGATAATTTCCTTTTAACCCATAAACTTATTCCCTCAAAAAGTTTTAATAATCATCCTAATAGCTGATACTTATTGAACCTTTTGTATATGCCAGGTACTGTGTATATGATGTATATGTTATGTTCTCTAATTTTTCTTAAACCAACCATTCTATTAGGAATTTATCTTTATTTCCTTATAGTCCAAATGAGGAGACTAATACTTTTGGTCTCAGTTTAAATGATTTACTCAGACATCTGGCTCAAAGCCTCCACTAAGATACACTTTCTGTCTCTACTTTCATAAGTTAGTCATGATTTCCCTCCAAAGCAAGATATCCCCCACTACCTACACTCAGTCCTGTCTCTTCCTGACCCTAAGTGAGTGGCCTGTGACTGAGTTGAATAATCTCAATGTTAAAAATGCTGCCCGTTTGCCTTGTGTGAGGAATTGGACCTGTCTGCAGCTCTTGTATTCTTTCCTCAAGCTTCATGTGTTTCTTCTGGATGGAACAACATAGAGCACTTGCCACCGAGTTCCTGCAAGGTAGCTGCTCATGACAGGCTCACTTTTAACCTCTTATTCTGTACCTTCACCCAGACTTTTGTCCTAACATCTTAGCTAATAACAGGTTCCCAGCAATTACTTGAATCACTGCGGTGGTTGGATCTTAGAACATTTAGCTTGATTAATACTATTGGATTGAATGTTCTGTGACTGTCTTTAGTATGTCTTTAGAAAGTTGCATAAAGTTAGCTGTTTAGATCCGAGCGCAACTTTTAGCTTTCCTCGGTGTAATTTTTTACCCTTTACCCCTGTGTCATTTTGAATCTGTTTTTCACAAGAAGCTGCCAGTTCCTTTTTCTTTCCACTGCTAGAATATCCTCTCCACCTCGTTCTCTAAATTTTCCGTTCTCAATCTGCCTCCAAAACGTAAATTAATGTATACGCTTTCTGCTCGCTGGTCCCTGAACCCTACTCTGTGTTTTGCCTAAACAAATGGCATTAATAGCATATTTCCATGTTGTAGTAAAATCTCACTTTATGAGATTAGAATTCAAATAATTGTGTCTAGCCCTAGTTGCTGTGTTTATCTTTCATGAAAGGTGCATATACAGAGAATGCTGCAGGACTCCAGCAGTTACATATAACACAATAGTTTTGTTCCGCACTTTTAAAATAAATAAAAATATACGGACTCATCTGTCAGGCTTCCTTTTTCAAAAGCTTTTCTTTCCATCTTGGAATAATGGATAGCATTTTATGAAGAGCATGGCAAAACATGGTACGTATAAAACTTATAATGACTTGAAATATTAAATAATATTTAATTCTCTATAACTTCCTGAATATTACAGTCTACAAAACCAAAAGTCTTTTATGCTTTTTTTTTCTGGGATAATATTTTTATGATAGTAGTTTAACATTTGTCACACATCCTTCTTGCCAAATTATTGTGACTCTTGTGTATATAGATAGCATGGGCTTATTCTGAGATATCGAAAACGAGAAACTTATAAAGTATAAATGAACCTTTAAACTGCATCTCCAAAATGGTTGTAGTGTGTTTTTTTTTTTAATTTTTTTCAACATTTATTATTTATTTTTGGGACAGAGAGAGACAGAGCATGAACGGGGAAGGGGCAGAGAGAGAGGGAGACACAGAATCGGAAACAGGCTCCAGGCTCCGAGCCATCAGCCCAGAGCCTGACGCGGGGCTCGAACTCACGGACCGCGAGATCGTGACCTGGCTGAAGTCGGACGCTTAACCGACTGCGCCACCCAGGCGCCCCAATGTAGTGTTTTGAAACAAGATTGATTGCTTTAACAAATTATAAGATTAACTTTATTAAGTGAGTGTAAAAATAGAGGATTGTTAGTTCCTAAGAAGTAGGTATCAGCATAATACGTAATATTTATTATGTTTTACAGGAGGGGTTTTGAGCTAGGTAAAGAAATGTTTGCAAAATAGATAAGAAAAATCATAAAGCCATCCTAGAAATTATTAAGCTGAAATTTTGAACTCTATACTAAACACTTACATTCCAAAAGCCTCAATATAATACATATGAGTGCTGTCTATTAGCACATGGATATTTAATACATTTGTTAGGAAAGATTTGTGTTATGTTCTAAGTGCAAAACTATAAAAATACATAGTAAAGGTAGAGATAAGAAAAGTTTTAATGGTTAAATGAGATTTTTGTCTTTGTTTCTAAAAGTCTTTAGAACAGTACCATTACCCTAGAGTGTTAATACTTTGGGTTTACTCTTCCTCAAATACCTACGAATGAACTATAAATTGGTAATTACATAAAAATTGTTGCTTTGTGGTCCATTAAAAGCTATACAACTTTCTCTTCCCAGTAGATATTTTATATTCAGAGCATATAATGTATACCTACATATAGTATTTCATATATATGTGTATCCATATAATATCTGTATTCTCACACTGAAAGTATCAAGAAGAATCTATTTTATCCCATGATATTATCACTCTAAGATTTGTTTTATTTTTAACTTTTTCTCGAGGCCTCTGATATAACCTGCTTGACTGAACAAGTTTTAAATATATCAGCAATATCTGAGCAAAACTCATTTGAAATTTATTATCAGATTGAAATTCCATCATATTCCACAAATGCTAGAAACTGACATGCTCTTTTTTACAGTTCCTAATGATAATAAGTTTGCAATAGAAACACATTAAAAATAAGCCTAGTCCACTGATGAGAATATATTTAATGTATTTATTTTAGATTGCTGATAATTCAGAGAGCACTAAATGCAGAGTGAATTCATCAAGCATTTTACTTTCTTATGCTGTTCTCAACTTTCTAGCAAGGAGCCAAAATTTCACCATTTTCAATTTGGAACAGAAAAGCATTTGTAACAGCTGTAGCTCTTAATTTGACATCCAGTTTCAGGTCATTTTCATGTAAATAGGAAACAATAGAGACCTGCTTACAATTTCCATAACAGGGATGTTTGCTTCAACTTTATCATTTTTCCTCTGGCAATTTTATTTTCTGTCTGTGGGATTAAAGGAGCCAATAATTGTTCACGGTTATTATTTTTCATCTTCATAAAAACTTGTTAGTTCCGCTCTTTATTACTCAAAGTTTCCCAATGTCTTGTATATTTCAGTCATACACACAATCCATTAATGTTTCTAGCTCATCCTCTCCTTAATCTGGAGTAGGTTAGGCGGGTCAGGCTTTCTATTTCTTTCTATAATACATTTTCCCCAGGCTTTACAACTTCTTTTTCTACCTCTAAAAAAAAAAGTAGGAGGTGAAAATTTAGAATTGTTCCATTGAATACAACTGATGCCTTACTGAAAGGCAAGTGTAAGTTTTGATTTATAATGCTCTGAACATGTCCATATGTATTACCAACTGTGGCTTCACTGTTGTAAAATGTAATTCTGTGCTTTTTCTGATAAATACATATTTTATTTCAATTTTCCTGTTCTGGAGAGGAGAGCCTACTTTATGCTTAAGCATAGATAGGCTTAATTCCATGTATTTTATCATCTGTAGAGTAATTTCAAGTGTGTCTCAATGGGGAGAAATTTCATTTTTGTGTACATCCTTATAAATATGTTGATTTATGCAGATTAACTTAAATAGGAAGTTATTTTTGTGGGTCGTTATTTCCATTTGTTTCTCTTCTGGGGAAAAAAAATAGAAATCAGATAGTCTTAAACATTTTTATTTCCTGTATCTCGTGAAAATACCAGCAAATCATATACTCCTTTGATTTCTTCTCTGCTGTTGAATTTACAGTAGTTGTGTTTTTTTTTTTTTTTTTTTTTTTTATAATATGCTTCTTTTTTTTATTTCCTGCCCCAGTGATATGACAAGAACAGTGGAGATTTCTGGGGAAGGAGGCCCCTTGGGAATACATGTAGTGCCTTTCTTTTCATCTCTGAGTGGAAGGTAAGATGTTTTCTTTATATCAGAAGCTCATGCTAATGAAAAACTTGACTTCAGCTCATTTTCCCAGACACATTTCAGAAGAGGATTAAGTGTATATCTCTGTTATTCAGATAGATACCTCAATATATAATGTCTGTTGGCCACTTACGTGTTAGAAACAAAGTCATTTCCTTATAGGATACAATGGAAAATAAATAATATCTATAACAGTTTCTGCATTTAGTGTTCTTATCAGTTACATGTACTAAACAGAATGCTTGGAAAAGATTTTAACGTATTTTTAGGCAAATATTGCCACTGAATTTTTTTCATGTTCCTAAATACAATTCAAAAGTGAGTATAATAATCCAAACTGATATTTCCTGATACTGCTCAGGTATATAGAACTTAGGATAATAAATATTCTAGCTTTATAAGTAGCTGTATCAGAAGCTATGTGTTTTCATGATTTTAAGTATAAGTAAAATGCCATTGGGCTAGTTTTTTTCTAAAATAAAATGTAATCATTTAAAAATAGTATACCACATCCTTTTGAAATTATACTGCAATCATTTAAAAATAGTATACCACATCCTTTTGAAATTATATTGTTAAATCCATAGTGGCAAATGAGAATTTAGATGTCAGCATTTCTTGAAATTCATGTCCACCTAACTGAATATAAAACTTGTTTTACTGATGGAAATGAAAGTATGTGTCTGAGAGTTAATATTACTATTCTTTTAACAACTTTACAAAACTAGTATCAGATATTATGTCATTGTTCAATAAGATGACTGCCTTTAGCACAGATTGATATTGACAAGGGCTATGTTAAAAGAAAGGGCTTTTCTTAAAAGAAAATCAGTTTCTCACTCATGATATGATTTTAATTAATTTGCTAAATTAACTTTTCTTATATTAAATGCTTCACTGAAAAGGCAGAATGTCTTATTTTAGCGTAGCAAAGCAAAGTCCAGAAAAGTCAGTTGAATTTTTTCAAAGTCACACAAAATCCAGATCCCTACCCCCTCACTCCATTGCTCTTTCTAGAGCAAAAATTTTCCCAAAGGTTATATAGTATTCATTTACTGATTCTGAATATTTATTCAGTTCAGTCTGCCACATAGCAGGAAAAGCAGATTTAGTCATGATATTTTGGTTGGCATCATTTTCAGCAGGTAGCCATCTGCTACCTGTAATTGCAAAGTCATCACCTTTTTTTGCAAATAACATCTGATGCCAAGCTCTTGCTGGAATGAATGTTCTCTAAAAAGAAATGAACTGAAAAGCTAGTGGCTCTTATTGTTTCATTTCCTGTATGTGTTAATAAGTGTGTTTATAAATGTTATGGGTTATGGCACAGGACAAGCTGAGGTTGTTTTTGATAGACAGGAAGAGTATTTATCCAGTTGTCATGAGAAATTCTAATGGCTTTTGGCAGAAGTATACTGATAGAGCTTTGTGAAATGCCAGAGCGGTTCAATTACCAGACCCTTTAGCTTAATGAAGCTGGAATAGAACACAAGATCATCCCAATTTCCAAAACATGAAGAAATGTACAATGTGACAGTCATCATACGTCATTTTCAATAGTTCGGAAAACAGGTTGACCCTATAGACCAGAAATCACCATCTTTTACATCAAATGAGAAAACACACTAAAATGTATTGATTTCTTCCCTTCTCCTTCCTGGTTCTGATTTCTAGCATAAGCCCTGAAGAATAGAAAGAGTGTTACACTTGGATTCAGAACAATTGGATTTGAATCTCAGTGTTCTCTCTTTCATAACTTTGAGCAAGTCCTCTAAGCTTGCCTCTTGTGAATACCTACTTCACATAAAGGTTATGAGGATTAAATGACATTAAAAATATGAAAACTCCTTGTAAAACACACAACATATGAATGTGTAAATTATCAGTATTATTAATATTATGGCTAAAACGAAAAAGCCTGGTTCACAAGTGAACTTTTATAAGTTCATGGTCAACTGTTTAGTAACTTGGTGAAATAGTTGTATATTTTTTTTTTTGCTATCCATTAGTATTATAGAAAGGAAATTTAATTAAAAAACATAAAAAATAATATGGAAGTGGAGACATGAGCCAATAAAAGTTAAGAAGTAATGAGTACAGGCTGAAACAGCACACTTAACTCAACCCATGTGTTTAGATGCAACTGAGTACAGAGCGTGTCACACAAGTGTCTGACTTCATAATGCCATATGGTTTCAGTGTGTGAGCACGGGGGCTGGGGGGGG